TTCCTTTTTAATGCTATCATTTTATTTGAAATCTCATAAATTTTATTTTTTTAAATCTTGAACTCTCTGGAGAGAAGATATTAACTCTGACTTCCTAAAGCACATTTAGGTTCTCTTAACTATTTGTGATGTTGATGTACTTTGGCTGTGAGATAAATTTAGCATTTTCACCTACCTTAACATTTTAAAATCTGGCTTTCATGATTTTGATGTAGTGGCTTTTTTTATTTTAATATTTAATAAGACATTTGTCTCATAAGTTACCCTGACCATGTTTAGGCAGCTTCCTAATTATAATTACACTCATAATTTAAGTAGAGGTTTTAGGACTAATACTGCTCAATATCTCTTCCATGAATCAACATTATTTTGAAAGTTTTAGCTATTGCAATAAGGCAAGAGAACAAATTAGTAAACATAAATATTAAGAAATAACAGACAAAATTATATTTATTTGTAAATGATATAATCGTAAAACCAAAACTCAAGAGTTTTTAGAAATAATTAGAACTAGGAGAACGTGGTAAAGTGGCTGGATATAAAAATTAAGAATGTCTTTCTTCTGGAAATAATAATGTAAAGTGGAAATTTTTAAAACTCCATTCACAATAGTGGAAAAAATTATAAAATGCCAAAGAATAAATTTAATAAAAATAACAAAGGATATAAGTAAAAATAGGGATGCAATTTTGGTAGCAGAGAATTTCACACTGTCATTCATTAATTAAAACTTCCCCTTTCCCCTGAATTGAAAAGCCAACTAATCATATGTTAAGTATACCCTATGAAAGTTTTTAGCCAGTGAAATAAAGGAAGAAGCTAAAAAATGTATAAATGTGGGAAAGGAAAAAATAAAACTCTCATTATTCATAGACATAGAAAATTCAGAATAGTCTTCAGAAAAACTCCTAGAATGAATAAGTGAATTTATCAAAGTTACTATATACTGTCAATGCAAATATAAATTGTATTTCTATATAGCAGAGGCAACAATTAGAAATAAACGTTAGAAAGCTGTCATTTATAAGTATCAGAAAATGTACATGGATGTACAGAGGACTTAGAATAGCTAAGAAAAAGAACAGAAAAGAACAATGCTGATGGATTTAAACTTCTAGCTATCAAATCTTATTAAAGAGCTATAATAACAGCATGAAATTGAAGTAAGTATAGGTAAATTCAGATAGAGAATTGAGAGAGAGAGAGAGAGAGAGAGAGAGAGACTCTATTCTATAAATATATAAATAGAATAGAGAGTCCAGGAAGCGATCCATACATCTGCAGTCCCATGATTTATGACAGAATGACTGTTCAGTACAATGAGGAAGGAATAGTCTTTTCAATAAGTGAGTTGGGTCAATTGGGAATCTAAAAATAATGCCCTTCGATCCTTACCTAACGGAATATACAAAATCAATTCCAAATTGATTGTAGAAACAAATGTAGAAGATAAAAAAATAAAGCTTCTAGAGGAAATCGTAAGAGAATATCTTCATGGCCTTGGTGGTGGCAAAGGTTTCATAAATAGGATCCACTTAAAAGAGTACCAGTCACAAAGGAAAGGCTGATGAATGGGACTATACTTTAAGATACCATTAAGTGGGTAAAATGGCAAGTCACAGCATGGGAAAAAGTATTTATAAATACCCCAACAAAGACTGGTTTCTACAACGTATTAAGAATTCTTGTCTATTCAATGAGAAAAAGACAACACAGTAAAAATTGGACAAGAGACTTACACTTCAACAAAGAGACCTATACATAAATCCAATGTCATTGGTTGTCAAGAACATGACATTAAAAACATAAAGTGATATCTAATACATGTAAAACACACCAGAATGACCAAAATTTTAAACTGAAATTATCAAAGCTTGTGAAGATATGGAAAAATTGGAGCCCATACACATTGCTAGTAGGGAGTGTAAATTAGGAAACTGTTTGGTAAAATCAGCTTAAAGATGAACATACACATACCCCATGGCCCAGCAAATTCCACTTTTATGCCTAACAGAAATGTGTACCTATGTGCACCAAAAATATGCTTATTCATAGTACCAAAATTTGAAATGACTCAAATGATTATCGACTGGAAAAATGAATAAATTGTGATACATTTATACAATGAAAACTATGCATCAATAAGAATGAACAAACCATTGCTACACTCAACAACATGGATGAATGTCAGGAACATAATGTTGAGCAAAAAAGCCAGACACAAAAGAGTACATGTTGTGTATTGTATGATTCTGTTTATATACAGTAAAAACAAAAACATGTATATAATATAGGTGTATATATGCATGTGTTCGTACACATATATAAGTATATACACGTGATCAGTGACTAGGAGGGAGCACTGGGGAGACTCCTGAAGTACTGATTATGTTCTATTTCTTGATCTGGGTGATGGTTATATGAGTATGCTCATTTTGAAAATATATATATATATTCAAGTTGCATATTTATGATTTATCCACTTTTTCTGTCTATATATTATAATTCAGTCAGAAGTTTACATTAAAAAAATGTGTTCGGCAATAGGAAAATGTACAATCCTGTTTCAGCATGATAGAAAGAGCTGGAATTGGAAGTACTTGACTTGTCTATCAAAAGGTTTAAAATGCCCAGGGTGTCTAGAAAGGAAGGAGTAATAATAAAAGGTTAGGTTCATGACATTTTAGGGTAATTTTTGTTCTCCTGAGGACCAAAAAGGATTAATAATTCCTGGGTGACAAGTGCTTTTATTTCATCTTTCTGATCTGAAGCTTTCACTTGTGGCCTCTATAAATAATCTAAGCAATTAATCTTCATCCTTTGACAAATGGCCACTTGTTTCTGGAGGTTCAATGACAAGAGTCAGAGGCCAAAATGCTCTATTTGTATCTAGTATATAAATTATGTCATGAAGATAACTCTAATGTTAAGTAAAAACTAACTTGGCCACTCTGGTTTTTTCAAAAGCCATTTCTATTTTCAGCATGGGAAGAATTCCACAATAGAAGAGATATAGCACAAAAGAAAATACAAATATTTTGATGCTAATTATTATTTCTTTGTATACTACTTTGAAAATCATCTGCTGAAAGGTATTAAATTGGACATGAGTTAATTTGTCTCTATAAAATAGGTGGAATATTTAGTGCAGTTAAATAGCAATGAGATACAACCAAAATAATCATGGGAAATCCATATATTTTCAGCATATTAATAAACCAGTTAATCTTAGTTTTCCAAAATGTTTCCTTTTGTTTTCTGAATAAAAAATAGTAATTAAATAGCAAAACAACAGTACCAACAATTTGTAACCTTCCGTAATATGTTACCTTGGGTGTAGGGAAACCTTCATATATTGCTGGTTGAAATATAATTGCCACAACCTATTTGGAATGTAATTCTGGCAATAAATGTTAAAATGTCAAAGGTAAACACCTTTTGACTAAATAAAACAACTTTAGGGAATCAGTAGTACAGGAATTAAAAACACTTGTACCCAAGGATATATGTAAATAGGCAAGCAAGTACAAAATATGAGAAACAACCTCTATGGAGAATAATTCAATAAATCAGGATACAGCCAACACTTGAATTGTTATGTGGCCATTAAATAGGATGTGTTCAATAATGATAATAATATGTAGCCTTTATTGGATGATCATTGTGTGCTAGGCACCTTTCTAAATGTTTTATACATGTATATAAACTCATTTAATCCTTATAACAACAAGAAGATATGGGAACTATTATTGTTTCTATTTTATGGATGAAGAAATTAAAGTTCAAACAGATCTAATATTTTACTTGGCTTCACATAGCTAGAATGTGGTGAGGACTGAATTTAAACCAGACAGTCTTATCTTACTACGGAATACACACTCTTAACCTCCATGTAGTTAATCTGCCTCCCTGAATTGATTAAAGAGGGATTTCTCTTATATTAATATGTTGTTAATTTAAAAAGAAAACAATGGAAACTTAATTATTCCATTTTTAAAAAAAGAAAAAAAAGCCGTTATGGAAGGATACTCCCCAATCTAGAAACATTGATTGTATCAGGATTGATCAAGGAAGGGAAATATTATTAATTTTTTATTTATTCACCTCTTTATTGTTTGAAGTTACAGAAGGCACTGGAATGCTTTGCCATTTTTTTTAATCCAGTAAAATGAAGAAAAAGTTAACAAAAACCAGACTCCAAATGTGATATTCACATTTAGGTTCATTATGCTTTCTTGAGAATAAAAGGAATGAATGGTTCATTTAACAAACAGACAACAAATTACTAAAAACTTGTCCTCTAATTTCTTACCAGGATTCAGACCCACAAGGCTCTAATTCACTGTGGTCATTCTACATGGCGTTTGCTCATTCATTTTCAAAAGTATTTATCTTGATTGGCATGAAGTGGTTCTCCAGTAAACATTTGTTTTCTTTCCTTCATTTTTTTTCTCTCCATGCTTTTCCTCCAATCAAATAACCAATGCTATGACCACAAAAGCAATCTTTATTTTCCATTTTTCAGTCTGCTCAGAATGACTCTGTCTGCACTAGGTCTCAGTCGTGTTAACCTGGTGCCTCTTTCAGATGGAGTGATTTCCAAGCATAATTTGCTGTTGCTTCCCTGGTCACTGTGGCAAGACTGTGTGCTCAAAATGATGGAGGGGGATGTTTTTTCAACAGGTCAATCTGTTATAAAGGAAAGCATTTAGTTAGAGCAGGGCCAAAAGTCCTACATTTGGAACCATGTGTAATGATTATATAAATACAGATAGTCCATAGTTTTAGAAGTATTTGCTATTTTATAGGCCAATCTGTGAATCTTGAGAGGCTATAGAATGATGTATGTGACATTTCAGCAGTATAGAGATATGGAACGCATCAAAGCACAAAAGTTAACTATATTTCACATGAAATTGGTATTTGAATATTTTGAGAACTGTACTTAGTCAACAGTTTGAAACAGCGCATTTCATGAACCCTTTTATGCTTTTTCTCAGGTCCCATTTGATATCTCACTTCCATCTATATTCAATCTTGAGAGACTTTTTGATCTTGCCAATGGTTGTATTGTATCAGGAGGAAGGCTTTTCAACTGGATCGTGTCAATTATTCTTGAACATCCTTTACACGGTAACCTTATACAAGATTTAATTGTTATTGTTTCTCTTGGTTTGAAATAAGTTTCTGGATCTGTCCTCTTATAACAACCAAAATGAAATTGTTCTCTTACACAAACTAAATTTCTTTAAAAATTAGAATTTCAAGGAATGTTTTCAATTGTATTTGAATTAAATGACAATGCTGTTGCTTATTAAAACTATCTTACAGAGCTATTCATAGAAAATGAGTTTGCACACCATGTAACTATTCCCATAATTGCAGTAGTTTATTTATAGGTTGTCTTTAGACAGGTCCATACAGCAAGATTGGATTAAACCAGTGATTCTCAACTGGGAGCGCTTTTGCCCTTAGGTGACATCTGACAATGTCTGGAGACATTTTTGGTTGTTGGAGAGTACTAGTGTTATCTAGTGGGTAGAGGCCAAGGATGTTGCTAAACATCTTACAATGCACAGGACAGCCCCCCACACAAGGGACAGTCCAGCTTAAGATGTCAATAGTGCCAGTGTTGAGAAACCGTGGATTAAACCTTAACATGTGGCAAATTCAATTTTGGAAGTTTTTCCACATGGCTTGGGAAGAAATCTGTAGCAAGTTATACCTTCCATATTTTATACTTCCTAGAGACAATATCGCACAGAATTTTAGAGCACCAGCTTTGGAATTGTAAGACCTGGGTTTGGATAGTAACTTCATCACTTGCTAGTTTTGCTACTTTAGGGAATTAAATTTTTAAGTTTCCATTTCCTCATCTGTAGAATGGGAATATTAATATTTATCTCACAGGATTGTTGTGTGTGTTAAATTAAGTGAGATGGGGTAATAAGGTGCTTAGCACAATGGCTGATATAGTAATAGAGATCTAAGAGTTTCATTTCCCAGCCAAACTGGAAGAGGACCATGAATCTCTGACTCATTTTGTCTAGCATCTAATAATGCCACACATGAATGCTTCCAGATGTTGGTCCATGAGTGGATGGATACTCATGCTAAGAAAAAATAAATATTAATAAATAACATAAATGTGTTTTTCTAAAGCTAAATTGGTTTAATATATTGTCCTTTATTCTGAGATTATGAATTTCCTTCTTTGTACTGGTGTTAAATAGGCCCTTCTTTTATGAAGGAATGGTAATAGTAGCTGGTAACTGGCATTTTAAAATAGTCTCACTTGATCCTTGAGATACTTTACTTAAAAAAAAGAAAGAAAATGAAAATAGCCTCACTTGATAATAAAAGAAAAAAAAATAGCAGCCTTATGTTGGTTCCTAATTTTTTAAGTGTAGACATTCATGAAGTTCCAAAGTTTGAGAAAAACCAAGCTATTATAGAATTATCCTAGAATATTACAGAGAGGAAATGAGTCTTTTTTTTTTCTTTTTCTTTTATTTCAGCATAGTATGGGGGTACAGATGTTTAGGTTACGTATGTTGCCCTTGGTTCCCCCCCCCCAAGTCCGTGTTTCAAATATGTCCATCCTTCGGGTGGTG